TGTTTTTATTTCACTTTTTAATTCTCCAATTACTTCATCTTTTCTTTCAATTATCTTTTGTTTTGTAGATAATAAGTTTGACTTATTCACCAATTCTTTGTTTAAAGGATTAACATGATGAGTAAAATATCAGTCTTTACAAGTATTAATAGCATCCAAGTGGCAATCAGCACTTGCCATCTCAAACTCTAATTCTTTTTCCAATTCTTTTTGGTTGGCTTCTAATTCTTGCTTGGTTTGTTCTAATCCTACAACTTGCTCTTCTAAAACAGTATTCTTTTCTTCAAGTTTTTGATTTTCTTTATAAATGAATCTGAACTATGTCAGGTTCATTCAGTAAAGCCTTTAACAATGTTTTCAAGGGTGAATTCATTACTAAAAGTAGCTTTCTCAACTCCATTTTCTTTTTGAACCTTTACTCATTCTTCTCAAGCTCAAAAATGTTGTTGTAAAGTCATTAAAGTTCCAGAAATTTCTGATCTTTCATCTTCCATAACGTTATTAACTGCATTTAAAATTCTTAATTTAAATTCTTGTTCTTTATCTGTTAATTGCTTCTTTAAATTTTCATTTTCTTCTAATAGTTGTTTATTTCTCTCTTGGAATCCATTTATTGTGTTTGTCATGATTTTCTTCTTTTAATATATTTATATCCTTAGGGTATGTTAAGTATATAATTATTTTAGTACTTTTTTACTTTAAATGTGGAAAAAAGCTAACAATATTTGTCAAAAGATTAAACTTATTAAACTTAATGACAGTAAGAAGTCATAGAGGTGATTTTATTCTAAATATTTTATTCATTGCCAGTATATATTGGTCTTGGGCAAGTAATATCTTTGTATTCATCTTTCACAAATGGATGAATATTCTGGTAAAGATATCTTGTCTTTTGTAATCCAAATGGATAAAGCTCTAATTTCTTCAAAAATGTCTGCTTTCTTAGATTTCAATAAATTGAATTCAGTAAAAGGTCCATTACCTTTCCCCTCACTGAATTCTACCAACGCACCCTGCAACTTCACCACCTGCTCCCACCTCTCATCTTTGTCCTTCACCAGTCTTTTTTTTCCTTCCTTCAGCTCATCTATCCATCCTTCCCACCTTTCCTTATGCTCTTTGTTCCTGTATTTTTCATCATCCAACTTTTCTTCCAACCTCACTAATCTTTTTTGTTTATTCTCCCCTTATTCGAACTTCTCCAACTTCTCCACTGCCTTCCTATAATCTCCTCTTGCTTATTCTAATTCATCTTTGATGTCTTTATATGTTTCCATCTTTAAATTTAAAAAACATATCCTTGAATGTAGTAGAATTTTTTGTTCAAAAATTCAAACAACGTTTTTTTACTGATAACAATGCAATATGATGTTCATTAATTACATTTTGCATAAAGGAGAATTTTCTTTGTAGTAATAGTCAGTAAAAAAATAAATCAATATTGTAATAATAAAATTATTTTCCTTCTAGGGATTTCTGCTTTTTGTTGGGTAATAGCACACTTTCATTTTGTTTTCTTTTTCTAACATTTATTATTTTTCTTCTTGGTAAATTTCATAAGTAATCCTTTCTTAGATAAGTTTCCAGTGTCTGAGTATCATTTATTTTGAAAATATAAGGTGCAATCTTTTCCACTTGTTCCTTTTTTAAAATACTTCTGATAGTGTTCCATGTCGCAATCCAAAAAAGGAAACCAAAGTGGTTGCAAAGGTGATTGCAACCATCACCAAGAATTGCAATCAGCATCTATAACTTCTGACAGTACTGTAATTCTTTGGTTCCATAGTAGATCTGATATAAATTAATTTCATATTAACTAGTTTCATCCGGAAAATATAAAAAAATTTTACACGTGTCAATTGTAAGTTTAATAATAAAAAAGTGTAAAACTTACGTCGGCACTGTAAGATTTACACAATATTACGTCGGCATCGTAAGATTTATGCAAGTTTACGCTAAATTAATTTCCTGATGTTTATATAGAGGTAATTCTATATATCACTTAATATTAAGAAGATAACAAATAGAAGATTTTAATAATCAAATTACTAAATTTTGATCCCTGAAATCCTTGGTAACACTAATGTTCACTTTGTCTGGTATTGTTGCAGCATGACCCATATTATTACTCAAAAAAAAAGGATCTAATAGAGAACAATCTTTATCTGAGGTCCTATAGTTTCTAGATTTATACAATGCAGGACACCTAGTCCCTACAGCTTTTGTTGGTTTTGGAGATCCTTTAACTCCTCCAAAAATGGAAATGCATGACCAAAAAAAACAAGATGTAGTTTGGAGACTAAGACACAGTGTGTAAAATTGAGAGAGTGCAAAGGGCGCGTGTAACACTATTAACCAATCAAATTTTGAATTTCTGGAAATAGTTTCTAAATTTATACTAGTTACACAACGAAATTTACTCACTGCTATGACCTTTCTTTACAAAGTTACATCTTCATTTTTTGTTGATATGTCAAGTAGTTGTAGAGGAATTATCAAAGTTGCACGAGCTTAACAAATTTACTATGTAACCCCCCAAAAGTGACGCGTTACACACAAAATTATTGAAATTTTGTATGGTAATTTTTTATCACGTGATAACGAAAAGAAAACCATATTATTGAACAAAATTTTTCTTTTTCTAATACAATTGGTATATTAATTGTTGCATATATACTACTTATATTAATCTTTAATTATCTATATATACATCTGAATAAAATCCTGCACTTGACAATCTTCACAAACATGTGACAAATAAGATTTTATTGCATTTTTTGATTGTAAAAACTGTCGCAGCGGCGCAGAAAGTTGCAGTAATATTTATATTTACTATTTTAACGGATTAACCCATTATAATTACCAATCCGGATGAAAAAATCTTAATGCCCATAACGTTAATCCGTTAACAATCCGGGTCGTAACACTATTACTATGAGCGAGTAAAAGTTATGGTTTTCATACTATGAACTATATTTTCTGAGATTGTTGGTTAGGCATTTTGATATTATTTGATTTTATAATAACAATGTAATTATTAATAATATCTGTAATATATGCTGAAAATTTGTATACAAAAAAAACAAATTTTTATATGTTTAAATTGAATTCAACACTATTACTACAATAACGCTTTATAATCATGGTTGCTTTGACTTCTACAGGTAATTAGTGAATGAATGAATAAAAAAAATTTTTTTTACAGCAACAAATGTCATTAATCGAAATTATAGTTAAAAAAATTAAGGTGGAATAATTGCTCTGCTTGACGAATCAGAAGAACAACTAAAAAGTTTACTCATTTCAAAAACTTAATTCTGTTATTGATCAATTTTGGGCAAAAATTTCGGAGGCAATGCAAGTTTAATGCTTTTATAATTACTGTAAGAAATATTTGATTGGTCAATATAACCGCGGATATAATATGTATTCAAGTTAGAATGGGAACTAAAATCCATAGTTAGGATTAGATAGAGTGGACATTTGATTTCATTGGCTAAATTATGTGACGATCTCCCTTCCAGATATCACGCAAAAAATTAAATTTTATT